TGGGGATGGCAACCAGTTGAATGGGCTGCTAGAGTGGTCACATTATTGACTGGAAAAGTTCTAGAGGCCTATGCTGGAATGGATGAAGACCAGTCTGATTCTTATGATTCTATTAAAGCTGTTGTGCTGTCTAAGTTTAATGTGACAGAAGAGACCTACAGATACCGGTTTCGAAGTACCAGTGTACCAGTGGGGGAGACTGTACGTGAAACCTACGGTCGGATAAAGGGACTCTACAAGCGATGGATGCGGCCTGACAGTCGTAGTAAAGAAGAGATTGGGGAAACCATAATCTTGGAGCAGTACCTATGTGTGCTTCAACCAGACATCCGAACAATGGCTGAAGGAGAACAATTCAAAAACAGGAGAGGAAGCTGCAGATCTGGCTGAACGTTACTGACAACCTTCAAAGTCAAGAGTAACTGTGGGGAGACCAAGGTTTGTGGAGGTAAAATCTCCAGATGCAACTAATGTTGGCAACTTGGTAAGAAACCTGTACAATCCAGCTTAAAGTATAACCTCATTTGTTGCTGTCAGCAGCCTGGTCACAAAGCTTCTTTATGTCTTTTAAGAAAACCTAAGTCAGTAGAGTTATGTGTGGTACTTTCCAAAGAACATAATTATGAACTTTCTTATGTGGTTTGATTCCACATAAACATCTGGTGGATGTGATGATAAATGGGAAAGCTGTAAAAGCTCTTGGAGACTCTGGCAACTCAAACTCTGGTGAAATCTTCTTTGTTGAGTAATGTACTACCTAACTTTAGCAAGCCTGTAAACATTGCTTGTGTTCATGGATGTCAGAAAGAGTATCCAACTGCAGACGTCACTATTGCAGTTGAAAGCCAAGCTTTTATGTTGACTGTTGGCGTTTTACATCAGCATATGATGTTATCCTAGGGGAAGATTTACCAATCCTAGACAGTTTGGTTCAAGAAAACTCTGTGGCATATTCCTGTGCTGTCATCACACATTCCATAAAAAAGGGCTTAGCACCTCTGCCAGATGCAGATGATTTGTATGAAGGAGGAAGTAAAATCAGGAAATCCAAACGACAACATAGACAGGAGAAAAATAAAAACAAAAGGAGGTCAAAACTTATTGAACCTACATTGCCATTAACTCCATTTATTGATCTCCAGTGGCAAGTTAACTTTAA